ACAGCTTGGAAAATTCCAGAAAATGATGTCAGGGCTTTAGAAGCTTCTGATAGGCTAATTGACATCATTTTAGTCAATTGGAGGTGTTCCTGTGGATGTATTTCCAGGCCTACCCTCAAACTCAGTGACTCTTTGCTTGACATCATGGGAAAATCTAAAGAAATCAGCCAAGACTTCAGAAAAAAGATTGTAGACCTCCACAAGTCTGGTTCATCCTTGGGAGCAATTTCCAAATGCCTGAAGGTACCACGTTCACCTGTACAAACAATAGTACGCAGCTATAAACACCATGGGACCACGCAGCCGTCATACCGCTCAGGAAGGAGACGCGTTCTGTCTCCTAGAGATTAACGTACTTTGATGCGAAAAGTGCAAATCAATCCCAGAACAACAGCAAAGGACCTTGTGAAGATGCTGGAGGAAACAGGTACACAAGTATCTATATCCACAGTAAAACGAGTCCTATATCGACATAACCTGAAAAGCCGCTCAGCAAGGAAGAAGCCACTGCTCCAAATCCGCCATAAAAAAGCCAGACTACGGTTTGCAACTGCACATGGGGACAAAGATCGTACTTTTTGGAGAAATGTCCTCTGGTCTGATGAAACAAAAACAGAACTGTTTGGCCATAATGACCATCGTTATGTTTGGAGGAAAAACATGGCCACTTTACCATTAAGGCCTGATTGGTGGAGTGCTGAAGAGATGGTTGTCCTTCTGGAAGTTTCTCCCATCTCCACAGAGGAACTCTAGAGCTCTGTCAGAGTGACCATCGGGTTGTTGGTCACATCTCTGACCAAGGCCCTTCTCCACCGATTGCTTAGTTTGGCCGGGCAGCCAGCTCTAGGAAGAGTCTTGGTGGTTCCAAACTTCTCCCATTTAAGAATGATGGAGGCCACAGTGTCCTTGGGGACCTTCAATGCTGCAGACATTTTTTGGTACCCTTCCTCAGGTATCTGTGCCTCCACACAATCCTGTCTCGGAGCTCTACGTACAATTCCTTCGACCTCATGGCTTGGTTTTTGCTCTGACATGCACTGTCATGCACTGTCAACTGTTGGACCTTATATAGACGTGTGTGTGCCTTTCCAAATCATGTCCAATCAATTGAATTTACCACAGGTGGACTCCAATCAAGTTGTAGAAACATCTCAAGGATGATCAATGGAAACAGAATGCACCTGAGCTCAATATCGAGACTCATAGCAAACGGTCTGAATACTTATGTAAATAAGGTATTTCTGTTGTTTTTTAATACATTTTGTGTGTAGATTGCTGAGGATTTTTTTTTCAATTTAATCCATTTTAGAATAAGGCTGTAACATAACAAAATGTGGAAAAAGTCAATACTTTCCGAAGGCACTGTAAATGGTAAAGTACAGATACCCCCCAAAACTACTGAAGTAGGACTTCCTGGTATTTTAACTTAAGTACTTTACACCACTGATCATAGTGAGGATATTAATAGTGAGATGTGCAATGCCATTTTGTTTCAATATTTGATTTATTTCCCCAGTACTTGGGAAAAACGCCCCTTTTCTGCATTGAATTAAATAACTAAAAAAGTGTAAACTTCGTAGTTTGTTTGCCTAAGCATGACCATCATCCACATACCAAAATATTTTCCAAACTTTTTTTGTGTCAGACATTTACATTTTAGTCATTTAGCAGACGCTCTTATCCAGAGCGACTTACAGTTAGTGAGTGCATACATTTTCATACTGGCCCCCCGTGGGAAACGAACCCACAACCCTGGCGTTGCAAGCGCCATGCTCTACCAACTGAGCTACAAGGGACTACAATATTGGACATTGTTCTTAGGGGGGGGCTAGTTACCCCAAGTTACTAAGAATGATATGTACAGCAGTAGATATATTAGAGTGGGCTATGTCAAATATATGGTGTGTATAAACAGTGTAACTAAAATCCAATGTATAGTAGTAGAAATATTACAATGAGCTATGTCGAGAATACAGTATTAAAATACGGAGAACAAAACCCTGTGGCAAAATTGATAGAATTGGAGGGAATTAGCTTCCGGACCAGAGTCCGGAATATAAATAATATGTCCATTATTGGTCAAAAGTTTTAGAACACCTACTCATTCAAGGGTTTTTCTTTATTTTTACTATTTTCTACATTGTAGAATAATAGTGAAGACATCAAACTATGAAGAAAAAAAACATATGGAATCATGTAGTAACCAAAAAAGTGTTAAACAAATCAAAATATATTTGAGATTTGAGATTCTTCAAATAGCCACCCTTTGCCTTGATGACAGCTTTGCACACTCTTGGCATTCTCTCAACCAGCTTCACCTGGAATGCTTTTCCAACAGTCTTGAAGGAGTTCCCACATATGCTGAGCACTTGTTGGCTGCTTTTCCTTCACTCTGCTGTCCGATTCATCCCAAACCATCTCAATTTTGGTTGAGGTCAGGGGATTGTGGAGGCCAGGTCATCTGATGCAGCAATCCATCACTCTTCTTCTTGGGAAAATAGCCCTTACACAGCCTGGAGGTGTGTTGGGTCATTGTCCTGTTGAAAAACAAATGATAGTCCCACTAAGCCCAAACCAGATGGGATGGCGTATCGCTGATGAATGCTGTGGTAGCCATGCTGGTTAAGTGTGCCTTGAATTCTAAATAAATCATTGACAGTGTCACCAGCAAAGCACCCCCACACCGTAACACCACCTCCTCCATTCTTTACGGTGGGAAATACACATGCAGAGATCATCCGTTCACCCACACCGCGTCTCACAATGACACGGCAGTTGGAACCAAAAATCTCAAATTTGGACTCCAGACCAAATGACAAATTTCCACCAGTCTAATGTCCATTGCTCGTGTTTCTTGGCCCAAGCAAGTCTCTTCTTCTTTTTGGTGTCCTTTAGTAGTGGTTTCTTTGCAGCAAATCGACCATGAAGGCCTTATTTACACGGTCTCCTCTGAACAGTTGATGTTCAGATGTGTCTGTTACTTGAACTCTGTGAAGCATTTATTTGGGCTGCAATTTCTGAGGCTGGTAACTCTAATGAACTTATGCTCTGCAGCAGACGTAACTCTGGGTCATCCATTCCTGTGGCGGTCCTATCATCAGATTTATCATATCGCTTCATGGTTTTTGCGACTACGCTTGAAGAAACTTTCAATGTTCTTGAAATGTTCCTTATTGACTGACCTTCATGTCTTAAAGTAATGATGGACTGTCGTTTCTCTTTGTTTATTTGAGCTGTTCTTGCCATAATATGGACTTGGTCTTTCACCAAATAGGGCTATCTTCTGTATAACCCCCCCCCCAGTAGTTATATAGGATGAGCCATGACCAGTGTTCAATGAATGTATAGGGCAGCAGTCTCAGGTGCAGGGTAGAGTACCGGCCGGATAGTGACTGTGTCTAAGGTTCAGGGCAGGGTACTGGGCAGAGGCCGGCTAGTGATTACTGTTTAACAGTCTGATGGCTTGGAGATAGAAGCTGTTTATCAGTCTCTCGTGCCCAGCTTTGATGCACCTGTACTTTCTCCGCCTTCTAGATGGTAGCAGGGTGAACAGGCTGTGGCTCGGGTGGCTGAGGTCCTTGATTATCTTCTTGGCCTTCCTGTGACACTTCCTGTTTCATACCATTAGTTTTGTAATTACAGGTAGATAACAGTGTAAGTAAAAATCCAATATGAATTTCTACAATATGACCTACAAAGCAGTGCATTCTAAATAGGATAATGAAAGGGTTGTGTGTGTTTGAGGAGAAAATATATGTGCACTGGCATGCAAGCATCACTGAAATTCAAGAAAACTCTATGTTTTTTTAATCAATGACATCAGGATATCTATAGATATCTATAGGGCCGATGTAGATTTATTTCAAACCATAATACAAAGATTTTGTCTGGACATTCTTATTGATCTATATGTGGTAACACTAATGATTTTTCTAGTCATGTTGTTTGAGATCATTCATATGAATACTACCCATAACCTACATTGGCAGCCAGCCAGCAGGCTACACACACACACACACGCACACACAATGCATAGTCCTACTGACACACTCACTTTGCCAATATTCATTGAAAAAGAAGACACATCAAATGTGAATCAACCTAACATAAGACATTTGAGATTATGCCGTGATAATGTAGTCTATAGTCTATATACAACATAATCCATTTAATGTGGAGGTGGAACTGTTAATGACAACGTGCTGCAGCCCTATTTTCTTGAGCGCAGTTGATTTTGGCGGAAGAAGACACGTCCTCTACGGGTGAACGACTAGGCTGGAATGGAAACACACGGAGTCGAGCCGGTAATTCAGCCGTTAGTCACTTGGTTGGAAGAAGGGAATACATGATAGAAGAAAGACATCTCTGCCCAATACTATTGGAAGAATCGTCGGTTTTATGGGGGGGGGGGGAGGGGGACGCAACCTTCAAGACTAAAAGGAACGTAACCTTCAAGACTAAAAGGAACGTGATGGGGAAAGGCATTTATTTTTTAAAGAATATTGTAACTCGACGTCCATTGGAGGAAACCATTTACTGTCTATAGGCCTACTACTAGCTCTGTGCTTTATCAGATCGTTAGATTTTCATGGAGCATGTCCTTTATTATTAGCCTACCTGTACCTGTCTTAGTTTAAGACATTTAGCTGTAGGTAGGTCAGCTGCCTTGACGGGCGGGCACAGGCTAGATGAGATTCAAGGTTTTTCAAAAAATGTGGTGGGATTCCTTGTCCTTCCCAAGGAGGGTAAGACGTGTTATCTAGGGTAGCAGATACGATAATTGTGGATTAATTTAATTTTTCAGCAAAACCCGACGCCATGGACTTGTTTTCTTCATTGGCGAAATTAGTGTCTGTTTAATTAAATCATCCACATGAGCGGCGTCTAAATTAAGGAAGCGTTCAGAGGGGTGAAAGGCGACGCTGAGAAAATTCACCAACAAGGAGAAAATTACAGTTTCATTCATATTCTCTGGAATTGTCGCTGTCCAACACAAGGAAATGGAAAGTGAGATTTTTACGCCGTTGTTGGAGCAATTTCTGCTCACGCCTTTGGTCGCCTGGGTAAGGCACCCTAATTAACCATTCTATGGGAATTTGAGCATACTAATTAAGCAGGGTATCCAAAATACATGCCCTGTTAACAAGTGATTTCGTTTTGCTGACAGGTTTGGTGTGTATTGTCATATTTTTCAGGTTAAGGCGGCTGGGCATTCATCAGGAAACGATGGCACCAAACTATCGGAATACATTGAATTAGTGGATGGCATTTATTTAAACGAGATCATGCTTGAGATGTAAGTAGTAGCCTATTTGTGGGTTCTCTCTGTCTTTCATGAATGAATGGCCACGCATGGTTCTGATCCATTGGTCATTATCATCAACGTTCGCCCTGCACTGTAGGCTACAGTGGAAGCACAAACACCCATGCATGCATTCATGATTCATGACACAAATTCAGGACCAAAAAATATATAAATGTTTAATGAGTTCTACAGAATTACACATTTCACAAGTGAAGTATGTCAGCCACCGATGCAACAACAGGATTAGGTTGTCTAATCAGAATGAAATAAGTGTACAGTGAGTTGTAGGTATTTTGAAGCAGACAGTTCCACCTCGAGTAATGTATTGATGGCGCGAGTCGGCAGCAGCTCATCTTCCACTGGAGCCGTCAGTCAGTCACTGAAAATGTCAGAACGTGAAGTGTCATCTGCAGTCTACTGAAGACTCCCTCTCCCTGGAGCTTGCTCTTCTTGCCTGCTAGAATAATACAGAGGGCGGCTATTCTACCTCACTCACCCAGCCTACCCCTTGAGGAGGAGTAGAAATAAGGAATCCCTCAATCTCTGCCATGGCCACTGACACGCACTATACAAAATAAGGCGGTTTCCACCCATGCTTTTGTCTGGGCTAGGTTTGCATGATAAGGTAGCCTATGTCAATTTTGGCCTATTCATCCTGTATGAGTAGAATAGCCCCTAACCAAGTTAACCTGCACATTATCACTCTGTATTCAAAATTAGAAGGCAGACATCACATGAATTTCCTTTTGCGTTATTGCCGAGCACTTTCTCTCTTCTCACACTGAGTTTGTTACTTATCACATTCTATCAACAGGTCTAAGCTCTACTGGCCCAGAGTGTCAATTATCTCACATTTTCCAGGTACTAGCTGTGCTCATGCTGCCTTGGCAACACTGTCCTCAGCTCTCAAGTCTTACTAGGTTGCCAATGACCTTGCAAACCCTACTCAAGTCTGTTTTGGCAAATTTGGTACTGTATTAATTTCTATTACTCTGGTCATCATACCAATAGGCCTAGTTTACAATTGCCAATATATTCAGTCAAAGCCTAATATTTGGAATTGTTCATTCTCATCCCAAGAGCAGTTTTCAGTTTTAATGACCTGTAGTTTAGCTGTGCTTGTCTGGCCGGCAGGGTGTTGGGGCTGGCTAGTCACTTCATCCTAGCTCTTTGTGTGTGTGCGTGCGTGCACAGTCAGTTTTGGGCAGCTGTTGGCACTCGTCTGCCCAGCAAGACTCCCACACAGAAGGCACATTGTCAATATTTGTTGTGAAGCAGGTCTTTGTCTCACTCTCACAGATTATGAAGGCTACATGTTCATCTTACATTGGCTGTTTAAGATATTCACTGGTAAATATTTACCTTGTGCTGGATGAAATTATTATTATTCCCCCATGTTTGTCCTTGGTTTATTTGATTCAGCCATATCAAAATGCAGGCCTCCAGTGGTTTATTTAGTGAAGTTGTACAAAAGAGTTGTTGTGAGAGTAGATTTAGTTAATGTTAACCATGTTACTGGTTGATCTGGTTCTGTTCAAATGACTTCAGCTTATTCAACAGGTCATGGCTACCAAACGTAATGTTGTCTGCAATGATGCCGAGTTAGTATGCAGAGCGGAGAGCTGCATTAAGTGATGAAAATGATTAACTGCCCAGCAGTTTGTAAGGTTGATTGCTTTGCCCAACAACACGCCCCCTCACTGCCCCTGTCTGTGTTGAAACTCCTGCAGAGTGCTGTTATTGTCGGCGTAATGGTAGGCATACTTGGTATTGACCTGCCTGTGATCAATATAGCCTCGTAAAGGGGTGCTCAGTCTTGTCCATGAGCAGCCATTAGAAAGATAAATGGAAGTTTAAAAACACATCATCCTTCTAGCACAGGGCTGTGTAGACTTTCGGCTTCTCACACTTTGAAGTAGAGGATGCATCATGTACTGCATAAAATTAACATAAAACGAGTTGCAGTGCTTGTTGTACAATTGTTGAGTTTGGCATACTACCATTTGAAGCTTCCCATGTTGAATAATATATGTGTGTGATTCATCATGTACTGTACACCGATTGGGGCTCCAAATAATTTAAGCAGCTGTATGTAGTAGTATGTTATTTTGTAATATCTCTCTCCAAGCTGTTGACAGGGAGGCAGGCAGACTTAAGTTGTCCAGGAAGCACAGAGGCCCTGCTGGATTATCTAACGGCTAGTTGGAGGCACAGATGGCATGGTGTCACTGTCCTGTCCCTCAGTCACTACTGCCCAGCCTATTAGAGCACCCTTCAGCAACATACTGTAGGTCTGTTTGTTTGTGTGGAGCACAGACTGGACAGAGAAGTGACATTTCCCTCTTCTCATTACAACGGTCAAAAAACAGGTACTTTTTTTTTTCTGGTTGTACTGGCATACATTACAATGGTTCAGGTCCACAGTTGGAATAAGGTGAATGGCTGCATTTTCAGTGTCTGCGATGGTTGACCTCAAGGCCAAATTGTGGCAAAATTCAGAGCTAAATGTGTTTGAAGCTAGATTTCTGTATCAAGGCCATACTACATCCCCCCTCAATTCTGGAAGCGATATTGTTAGTGTGCTATTTTCCACTTCAGTGCTCAAATACAATCACATCAAAGTCCATGACGCTCAGATGATTGAGAGTAATGAGCATGTGACACACACACACACACGTTAATTCCACCTGAAGCCGTGCAGCAGCTGTAGCGAAGCCACATGCTCATTGTTCCTGAGCCCCTCCCTCAACACCTCAGTCAGGACAAAAGCACAGACGAGTGCAGCCCACTTCCAACCCGACATGGCCACTTAACGCAGCGGTGCAGCAGCTTAGAGGAAAATAAAGATATCTGTTGAAGGACAACATTTTAATTATCTTAATCCAGATAGGATTAAAGTCTCTAGCAGCTCCCCAATTCATACACAAACTGGGTTTTTTTCAACTGGAAAAACGGGTGATAAGAAGGGACAGCATCACAACCACCACCTCTCCAACACTGCTGAACCAGACACAACACGCCTCTCTGCACTCTCTCTCCCTGTGTTTTCACGGAACAGCATGCCTCCTGCTTTTGTTTTCTCTCCTGTTTAGGTAGAAGGGGTATAGTTTGGATTATTGCTGGATGGCTGGTGTGTATTTGTTGAATTTCCCACAGCTGGGTTCTTTATTCTTGGAGATCAAAGGCTTCAGTCATAGGCTACCACTGCCAGCCAGCCAGATATTCAGACAGACAGAGAGGAGGGAGGGGGCTGCATCCCACACCATGCTGCTTGGCCGTTATCTGCCACAGACCAGCCATTAATGACCATCCTCCCTGCGTCGCATCTCCCACTCTTCCAGCCCTACATTCCGTTTATCTGCCTGAACCTAGACCTCTCTCCGTGTCTCTCCGTGTCTCTACCTATGGTTGGTTTGAACACAACAGAGCTGGTTGTTCTGTTTTTGAATGGTAATGTAAACAGTGGGCATTTTACTATTATTATTAGGTCCCGTGTAGCTCAGTTGGTAGAGCATGGCGCTTGCAACGGCAGGGTTGTGGGTTCCATTCCCACGGGGGGGCAGTATGAAAAAAATAAAATAATGTATGCACTCACTAACATTAAGTCGCTCTGGATAAGAGCGTCTGCTAAATGACTAAAATGTAAAAAAAAAATGTCTGTCTTGTGCTTCACTCACACGGTCACTAGACTATGGTATTGAAGGAGGATGTTGAGCTGTAAAAAGCCCTGTGAGTCAGACATGCAGGAAGCAGCGGTTGTGACCTTGAAAGGGTACTGCTTTAACAAGGCCATGCAGAGACTCAGGAATAGGAACGGCCCTATGGAAATGTACATGAATGACACAAAGCTCCATAGAGAACCGAACTACCCATTAAAGCACAAGACCAAGAAAATAAGGCATAGGTACAGTACGTACTTCTGCTGTTCCCTCTCCCTGGATTGTGTGCTGTCCTGTAGAGAGAGTATGTTACAGTAGGTTGCCGTGATACTGGTTCTGGCTTTCAGGAGCTCAGAGCTGACAAAGGAAACGATTGGGAAGCGCTACAGCAGCTCCATGACACACACACACACACACACACACTGTCATCCTGCCTGCGTAGTTCTGAACACCACCTCACCACAGTGGGACTACTGTAGTCATCATCCACATTCCTCTCTGGTGATTCCCCCAGCTAGCCCTCCATGTGCCTGGGAAGTCATCACTCCTCCCCACTAGTGTGTTTGGACTGAGAGGCTTACTGACTCTGTCCTCTCCTCGTGCTGGGCAGCCGGCCCATGCTCTACTCTCTGCCCCCCGCTGACTGCTCTACTCTCTGCCCCTCGCTGACTGCTCTACTCTCTGCCCCCGCTGACTGCTCTACTCTCTGCCCCTCGCTGACTGCTCTACTCTCTGCCCCCCGCTGACTGCTCTACTCTCTGCCCCCCGCTGACTGCTCTACTCTCTGCCCCCCGCTGACTGCTCTACTCTCTGCCCCCCGCTGACTGCTCTACTCTCTGCCCCCGCTGACTGCTCTACTCTCTGCCCCCCGCTGACTGCTCTACTCTCTGCCCCCCGCTGACTGCTCTACTCTCTGCCCCCCGCTGACTGCTCTACTCTCTGCCCCCCGCTGACTGCTCTACTCTCTGCCCCCCGCTGACTGCTCTACTCTCTGCCCCCCGCTGACTGCTCTACTCTCTGCCCCCCGCTGACTGCTCTACTCTCTGCCCCCCGCTGACTGCTCTACTCTCTGCCCCCCACTGACTTTGATGCAGCGTGTCAGAAATAGATTACTTCCCAAAGCAACGCAGGAGTGCACCGGGCAGTATTGTGCTCTGCATTAACTATTGACTTGTGCATTGACTTCCCATTTTCCAAAACCTATATGATCAGCATGGTACAGTATTTGGGTTTTGTCTACCTCACAAAGGGCCCTATTCAGGCGCCTGCAGTCACTAATACTGGAGGTGATGTTGTCCAATGAGGGGGGAGGAATAGAGAAGGCCTCAGCCCAAAAGAAACTGAGCCGCTGCAGGATTGTGTTGTATAGAGATGTGAGTTACTAAATTAGCAGCTCCCTCTGTGCAGCCAGTGCTCGGTTTGACAGGATTACAGCTCCCTCCATGCTATTTCATTAAGGGGTTAAGACGACCCCCCCCCCCAAAGTGCACCTCTCGAGGGGCTTTGAATGAGCGGTGGGGTCACATGGCCAGTGCCATTCAAAGCACTCTTAAAGAGGACTCTGTCTTTCTGATTTGCAAGACTGAGGCGACAGTGTGTGTGGGAGCATGGCTGATCAAAATGCCTATTAACACACCCGCTTCCCTTCTCGCGATGGTTGCTTTCATAAAAAATCATGAATGTTGTCATTTTTATTTAGCTTTGTTCGTAGTTCAACGATAGCTCCCTGGTCTTATGAAGTGGCATTTTTAATTTTTTCTAGGTCAACTGCTAAGTCTTATCAATACAGGGGATTTTAGGAAGAGGCTGGAAACTCTGTTTATTCTATTTTATCAGTTGCTTGGCAACGGGCCTATTATGACCGAGGCTCATTAGAAGACAATTTTATCCCTCACTGAGTGGGCTTCCATGGAATTAGAACAATCTAGAACAGAGTTAACGGTGAAGGGAAATTGTGCAAGGTTAATTTGAAATCAGCCTTTTACACGAGGTTGTGTTAGACATAAACGCTAAAAGCTTGGTTCGCAGATGCAGGCATGTACTCACGCATGTATGACTGCACGCGTGCATGCACACATTCATGTAAACACACAACCCTGTTTACTATAGATTTAATGAACATGCCATGCCATTTGGGTTAAATGGCCATGCGACTAATGAGAGATTTTGTTGTCAAATAATAATTGTTCCATCCTCCAACATTGGGACATCCTTTATCAGCAAAGCTTTTAGACTCCAGACCAGACCACTAGATCAGTGCAACGCTGCATGGATGCACCATCAGATGGGCTTCAGTGAGAAATGAGGTCAGAGGAGAGCATCCAGAGACTAAACTCAAACCATCTGGCCAGTGAAGAAGCCCAGTGGAGGCCTGCATGTGTTAATCTCTCAGAGTTTGTAAACCATGTTGGTCCAAAACCTTTGCTTGATGATCATCAAAGCACAGGTCTGAACTGACAGACGGTAGATGAGAGACTCAGAAATTGGGTTAGCCTTGATGGTCTGTGAGGACAGATGAGGTGAAATTCCTCTGCTTTTGTCTCGTTAGTGTTCAATAATTCAATTCAGTACCCCTTTATTGAATTTCAGGTAGTTTCACAATTAATGCCTCATAGCATGTTATCAACATGAAAGTAGTTTTGAAAACAATCATGCTAAATGATTTAGAATGCATGATTGATTACTAAACTGTTGATTTATTAAAGGCAGATTGTTGGAATGTCATGCATTCCTCACACGGAAAAACCGTACTGTTCTGAAGTACCATACCCATGTAGAGGCTTAGTATATTTGGAATGTCTGTCGTTAACACAGGTCGACACTCCTGATAACATCAGCAGTTATGCTCCTAGCCCTGGGGGCAAGACATCTCAATAGCAGTCCTTGACTGAATTCTCCCACCAGAATCAAGTAATAGTTAAGTGAGTTGTTTTTGCGGCAAACTGTCCTACAACACAGACAAACATTCCAAAGTTTCGACCAGGGCTCTCCAACCCTGTTCCTGGAGAGCTACCGTCTTGTAGGTTTTTGTTATAATCGTAATCTTGTGTACCTGATTCTAATAATTAGCTGGTTGATCAGCTGAATCAGGTTAGTTAAAACTGGGGTTGGATTGAAAACCTACAGGAAGGTAGCTCTCCAGGAACAGGGTTGGATAGCCCTGGTTTAGACCTAGCTCTGTTAGTACTGGGTGTCATCAACACAACCATGAGAAATGTCAATGTTCAAACACTGACTTAACACTGTACTGCTAATGCAGCATTTTACTGACTGACTGAAAGGCAGACAATTTACAAATGAATTTGTCTACTCTCTGCTGTTGTTCTCATTTTTTCTTCCCCACAGAAATCCAAAAGCCACTGTTCAAAGAACCAACAAGAAAGTGAACAATGACTCAACACTGCGCATACAAAACCTCTCCATCCTGATCCGGCAGATAAAGTCCTACTACCAGGTGAGTGGAAGGTTAACACTAAAGCTCTAATGGAAAGATTGCATCTGGTGCTGAGGTCTGGTATATTGTGCTGATCTGTTAAAGCCATGTGCCTCCTAGCTCTTTAGGATCAATTACATTTTCTACCCTGAGGTTTGTCAGCAAGACACGTTTCAGTGGAGACTGTGCCTTGTACACACACACACACATATATACACATACGCACAAAATCACGTTTAAACTACCCGATAAACACATACACACACATTGGAAAATAAGTATAAATACACACGTATTTGACGATGTCTGTGGCTGGTGTGATGTGGCAAGGGGACCTCCATCCAGATGTCACGGAGGCCTCTACAAATGGAAGGGGAGCTGTATGCAGACACGTTAGAAACGTTTGGAGCTGAAACGCAGCACACTAATGTGGTTCTCCGTCTCACGCTTTGACTAATGAAGATCTGGGATGTATTTTGGCTTCAGTTTTGTGAGAGCTCAGAACAGTATTAAAACGGACACAAAATGAGGAGTTACTTCCCCACTATAGTAACTTTAAAAGCTGTCTGCAAGTAGTGTCTCCGTTTTGCTGCTTGGCTGATGTTTTCACTGCATTAGATCATATCAGGTTCTTGCATGTGAGAGTAATCTGAGTATGGTTGATAATTTCCATTCAGCTCAAGGAAGAGATGCTTCCCATTAATCTGATGGACAGAGGGAGGAAGGGGGGCTTCCTTGTGACAAGATCTGATATATACCATGACTGCCGATGGTGGGGCTCTGGCCTTAATATCCTACACGGGAAGTTTATCTAGCAGTCAGTACATCTGTCCAGCGACTTTTTGCGAACCTCACAGCCGAGAGAGAACACACTTAATACTTAACAAGGATGATAAAGAATTTCAGCCATCATAATTTGGTGTTTCTGCTGAAGGTGATGATGCTGGGAGAGATAATTGGCCGTCTCAGGGTGTCTTGGCACTCAGAATGATAATCAGGAAATGTACGTGATCCAGCATGCACAACACCAACTGCAGGAATGTGTGGAGTTGACTATGGGAGATTTACCCAGCAGCACAGTCTCAGTGAGGAGAGGATTTCCCACGGCTGTGTCTATCTGGACAGGGACTGTTCCCTCCAGTCGGCCATCATCGATCTTCCTGTAGTCATCTGCAACTCAGCAAGTCTCAAAGCAGAAACTACGCAGTCACATCCCCATAAGCCCAATGCTCATCAACATACCATATTGTAGAGTAGGATGATGGACAAGACTCTGGACACTTCTATTACATGCTAACAGACCTACCTGGAACATCCAATTAAACATCCCTTGAACATCTCATTACACAGGGCCATTGTTTATCGACAGTAATGTCATAAGCCTTGAAAGCCCTGCTAGGCCCTCTCAAAATGGCTTTCAAAATAATCTGTCACAAAGCCAAGAGTCTTAAGACCCTTATTAGCCGCTTGGGTTAAGTAAGAACATCAACTCTCCGAGTGGCCATGTGAAGCTGAAAGTATTAGCCTTAGAAGCACAAACAATAAACGTGTTGTGCTTCTAGGGTGGGTGTCATCAATATTTTCCTTGCCTTCCCTGCCTTTGTGTTAACCTAATGGTTAATATATTGTCAGTCCAGTGTCCATTATAAGCCCCCACTGTTCCTCCTGCCCTTTTGTAGCAAGCCTCTCAATGGTCGTTGATGCTTTACCACCCACAATCAACTACTCAGTTAACTGGAAACGCCATGGCATTTTCCTTTGGTGTGGACAACAGTGATTCTTGTGGTGTTGTTTTGGTGTTTGAGTAGACATGAGTAGTCCATTTGACTTGTCCGTTTGAGATCCACTTGATTATTACCTCATTCACATTCAAGGGTTGAGATTGGATGGAGGGCCGGCCTTTGGTGTGAATCACAACAGTACTTGACTGAGATCAGTGGACAGCTGTCAGCAAACACTCTGCTTTGCTTTTTTTTTACGTTACTGTTGTGACTTTCCTACGGTAGGTTATCAGATTTTACATTGTAGTCATTTAGCAGACACTCTTATCCAGAGCGACTTACAGTTAGTGAGTGCATACATTTCCATACTTTTTTCATACTGGCCCCCCGTGGGAATCGAACCCACAACCCTGGCGTTGCAAGCGCCATGCTCTACCAACTGAGCTGATTTTTAGCTGATTAGTGAACACAAGTATTTGCTCAGCTGAAACAAGAACAGCCCAGTCTTAGGATCTTGGATAATGTGTAGAAACCGAGAGCAAATACATTCTTTCAGATGAAAGGTCGATTGGTGGTAGACCCCTTGATCTTATTGGGGTCCTCATTCAGCACACTACTCCTTATTCCTAGACTCTGGATGACCTACTATCCAGCCTTGAGTTGCTATCTCTGCCCTGGCTATGGTTCACCCTGGTGCTTCAGTGCTGCTGGTTATAAACCTCAATGACTGGCCTGCCTGGCTGATTTTAAACCAGGCTAGTGGAAAACAGGCCAGCAGGCCCCAGTCATTCACCACCCACATCCTAGCGGGGCTGATCAAAGTCTAGAGAGAGGCACTTTGACATTGAACAATGTCTTTGATTTTCTTTGCTGTGGTCCCATTTGTTCCTGTTCCTGGCTTTTCATTCATCTTACATGTTCCAGATGGAAATGTCATCAATTCTCTAGGTTTTCAACCAATAGAGTTAACAGCAACATCATACTGAAGTGGGCACAGACACTGCGGGGCACATTTGGCATATATGCTGGTGATGTTGGCAGCTCTACCATCCTAAGGGTCTGTGTAGTTTGGTGACATTCCTTTGTCTGTCGAGCTTCTGCAGTGTAGCTTCACTCTTGAATCTCGGGAGGAGGAACATCATTAAGTTACTGATCGTGCTGACTCCGCTCAAAGTCTCCTGCAACTGAACAAATGTAGTAATTAGGCTAACTCTCCTCTTCAGAGTTCAGGTGTCAGACTAGAGACCTCCATTCCTCTGGGACATCCCTCCTCCATCCGTCCTAGAAGTGCACTAGTGTCTGGGACACGTGGAAAATTACTTTGTGTAGAGGTTGTTAAAGTGGACCGGCCTATAGTTCCATAATGTCTTTCATATAAAACATTTTTTGTTGTTGCAGTGTCAGCTCTCATCGGCATGCATTTTATCATGTGTCCCAAGGTTTCTGCTATTGCACTTATAGATTGGGAGTGTGTCCACTGTCTAGACACACGGCTGCTTAAATATTTGTAGGCGCTAGTCACTCATTGAGTTTGGAAGGTACTAGCCTATTGAGAAAGTGCTGTTGTTGGCATGGATAGCGTGTTACTACAGTATGACGCTGTATTGCGGTTGGGTTTTGTAGGAAGGAGCAATGCTCATGAGTTGTTTCTGTCAGAAGGAATGATTGATTAGAGCCAACGTTTTCCTATTTATGGCTATGTATTACACTAGGAGTGCACTAGATTTTAATTTTAAAAAATTGTATCGATTTGTATTTATTTAGTAGCCCATTCATTCTTTGTCATGTTCTTTCAGGATCCTCATCACTCAACTGTACATAATACCTTCCTTAGCTAGGCTTTGGTCATTAGGATCAGGGCCTAAGGTAATCATTGGTGAATGCATCGCTCCCAGGTACTTCACACTCCACTGAATTCAACTGTGAAGCTGTGAGGAGAGGAGAGCTTTCCAAATACTCAACTGTTCACTGAGTACTACCTGGTGATTCATCAAGTCCAGAGGCGGGCCAGAAGGTAGTTTTGAGGTCTAACTTGTTAACTCTATTTCACACTGGAAATGGTCATTTTACACATTTCAAATGTCATTTTACGTGATGATGTGTAGAGGATGTTGGGATTTACTGTATTGTTTTGTTTCCTTGTAATGATATTTAAGCATTTGCCAGTATTGTTGAGATTAGTCCTATGAAGGTCTCTCGTCTTGGTTACTCAATCCAAATGAATGTTAGGCCTCTTTTTTTTAAATCTTTTTTTTTTGTGGTCTCTGTTTGGCATGCATGCAGAGATCTTTGGAGCTCTCGCCAGCCAAACCAATTCCATGTGCGTAGCATCACGTCGAGCTCAAAAACAGTAATGACTTATAGGCCTACACTTTTCTGTACCAATGTGAATTGAAGAGTGGACCTGCTGTGTAACGTCTTCCTTTAGCACTGCTTTGCTTTGGGGTGTGTTCTTAAGGCAGTAGCTCATTTTGTTTTCACTGCATTAAGGGGAACAGAGCTCCATTCACACACAGGGCCATGTCCTCGGGGCACTGAGCATCATGTATCATGTGACCTCACACCCCACCCCATGCCCATTTTAGAAGCCATTAAAGATGAGTTGGCACACTCACAGCCCGCATCCTCTCTGCTATCATCCAAACGCTAAATAATCCTCCACATATGACACTTTAATGCTGTATGTCTCTATGCTGAGCCCCAGAGTAGTGGAGCTTGTTTTGGAGGCTCAGGGAGACTGAGTTCCCCTCGCGGCTGAGGCTAGCTGACCTACACAAAGACTGTCTGTTAGTGGGCTGAGATGGCTAGAGCAGAGTCTAGGGTGGTTGTTGTTCTTGTCTTACACTTCATCATGGAAATATTTAAGTGTGTGTGTGTGTGTGTGTGTGTGTGTGTGTTTAAATCTGTGTTAATATGGGAAAGCTTCAAGCCGGAGGTTATTTGCTTTCTTTGAATCATCTTCATCATCGGCAATCCACAACATTTATTTAATTTGTGGCCTAATACCCAAGTGATTTCTTTCATGGCCTTAGCATTTGAAGCATGAGCAAATCAGTTCAATAGGGCATGTAGGCTACTTGTAGCTTGGGACTAAATGCATGTACTCATGCAATCTCACATGCTAAGCCAAAATGTCCTGTTCAAATCAAATAATTGTATTTGTCACATACACGTGTTTAGCAGATGTTATAGCGGGTGTAGCGAAATGCTTGTGCTTCTAGCTCCGACAGTGCCGTAATATCTAACAAGTAATATCTAACAATTTCACAACATATACCCAATACACACAAAACTAGTGAG